TGCTCAGTCCTTCTAGCTGAGACCTATGTTCAGGGGGTCATGCGTCAGTCCCATGCTGAATTCCCAGCTATCAGTCTAGAGTCCCATTAGCTCCTCCTTGTTCAGGTCAGCTGTCTCTATGTGTTTCTGCAGCCTAGTCTTGTTCTCCTTCCCTGCATCTGGATTCCAGTTCGGTTCAGTGTTTAGCTGTGGGTGTCTGCTTCTGTTTCCAGATGAGGGCTCCATGATGGTGGATAAGTTAGCCGTCGATCTCATTATCAGGAAAGGGCATTTATGGTAGCCTTTTCACTGTTGCTCAAATTGTTATTTGGGGTCAGTCTTGTAGGTCTCTGGACATTTCTCTAGGTTCAGTTTTCTCTTCAGACCTATAATGGCTCCCTCTTTTATGCTGTCTCTCTCTGTCTCTGTCTCTCTCCTCTTTTTTTTCCTCCCCTTACTCAATCTTCCTAGTCCCATGTGCTTTCCTCTCCCCCCTTCTCTTTCTTCTAGTTCCCTCTTCACTCACTGCCCCCCCACTCCCCATGTGCTCTGGAGATGTTGTCCCTTCCCCCTTCTGTGAGGGACCTTGTATGAATCCCTTAGAATCCACCTTGTATCCTAGGTCCTCTGGCGGTGTGAATTATAGGCTGGTGATCCTTTGCTCTGTGTCTAAAATCTATATATGAGCGAGTACATACCATGTTCCTCTTTTTGTGACTGGCTTAGCTCATTCAGGATGGTTTCTTCAAGTTCCATCCACTTGCCTGTGAATTTCAAGATCCCATTCTTTTGTCATCCCCTGCCCCCGCAGAGTAGTATTCCATTGTGTAAGATGTGCCACAACTTCTTTATCCATTTTTCAGTTGAGGGGCATCTAGGTTGCTTCCAGGTTCTTGCTATTACAAACAATGCTGCTATGAGCATAGTTGAGCATAGGTCTTTGTTGCATGGATGGGGATCATTTGGGTATATGCCTAAGACGGGACTTCCAGGTCCTGTGGTAGACTGATTCCCATTTTCCTGAGGAACTGCCATACTGATCTCCAAAATGGCTGTACAAGTTTGCACTCCCACCAGTGGTGGGAGGAGTGTTCCACTTTCTCCAAATCCTCTCCAGCATAAGCTGTCATTGGTGTTTCTAATTTTAGCCATTCTGGCAGGAGTAAGAATGTATCTCAAAGTTGTTTTGATTTGCATTTCCCTGATAGCTAAGGATGTTGAGCACTTTCTTAAGTGTCTTTCAGCCTTTTTTATTTCCTCTATTGAGAGTTTCTCTATTCAGTTCTGTACCCCCATTTTTTAATAGGGTTATTTGGTGTTTTGTTGACTAGTTTCTTGAGTTCTTTATATATTTTGGAGATCAGCCCTTTGTCAGATGTAGGATAGGTGAAGATATTTTCCTAGTCTGTGGGCTGCTGTTTGGTCTTGTGTACTTTGCCTTACAGAAGCTTCTAAGTTTGAGGAGGTCCCATTTATTAATTATCGATCTCAGTCTGTGCTACTGGAGTTATGTTCAGGAAGCGATCTCCTGTACCAATTTGTTCAAGGGTACCTCCTACTTTCTCTTCTGAAAGGTTCAGTGTCGCTGGATTTATGTTCAGGTCTTTGATTCATTTGGACTTGAGTTTTGTGCATGGTGACAGACATGGGTCTATCTGCAGTCTTCTACACACCCTCATCCAATTGTGCCAGCACCATTTGTTGAAGATGCTTTCTTCCCCCCCATTGTATACTTTTAGCTGTTTTGTCAAAAATCAGGTGTTCATAGGTGTGTGGGTTAATATCAGGATTTTCAATTTGATTCCATTGGCTACTTGTCTATTTTTGAGCCAAAATCAGGCTGTTTTCAGAACTATAGCTCTGTGGTAGAGCTTAAAATCGGGGATGGTGATGCCTCTTGAAGTTCCTTTATTTTACAGGGTTGTTTTGGCTATCTTGGGTCTTTTGTTTTTCCATATAAAGTTGATTATTATCCTTTCAATGTCAGTGAAGAATTGTGCTGGGATTTTAATGGGGATTGCATTGAATCTGTAGATTGCTTTTGGCAAGATTGCCATTTTTACTATGTTTATCCTACCTATCCAAGAGCATGGGAGATCTTTCCATTTTCTGGTATCTTCTTTAATTTCTTTCTTTAGAGCCACAAAGTTCTTATATAGGTCTTTCACTTGTTTGGTAAGCGTTACCCCAAGATACTTTATGTTGTTTTTGGCTATTGTAAAGGGTGGTGTTTCTCTGATTTCTTTCTCAGCCCCTTTGTCGTCTGAAAAAAGTAGGGCTACTCATTTTTTTGAATTTATCTTGTTTCCTGCTAGTTTGCTGAAGGTGTTTATCAGCTGTAGGAGTTCCCTGGTAGAGTTTTTTAGGTCGCTTATGTAAACTATCATATCATCTGCAAATAGAGACAGTTTGACTTCTTCCTTTCCAATTTGGATCCCCTTGATCTCCTTTTGTTGTCTTATTGCTTTAGCTAGAACTTCAAGTGCGATATTGAAGAGATATGGAGAGAGAGGGCAGCCTTGTCTTGTTCTGATTTTAGAGGAAATCGCCTTAAGCTTCTCTCCATTCAGTTTGATGTTGCCTGTTGGTTTACTGTATACTGCTTTTACTATGTTTAGGTATGTTCCTGTTATCCCTGACCTCTCCAAGACCTTTATCATGAAAGGGTGTTGAATTTTGTCGAAGGCTTTTCAGCATCATGTGGGGTTTTTTCCAGTTTTTTATATGGTGGATCACGTTGATAGATTTTCACATGTTAAACCAGCCTGCAACCCAGGGATGAATCCTACTTGGTCATGGTGGATGATTTCTCTGATGTATTCCTGGATTTGGTTTGCCAATATTTGAGTATTTTTGCATCAATGTTCATGAGGGATATTGGTCTGTAGTTTTCTTTCTTAGTTGTGTCTTTGTGTGGCTTGGGTACAAAGGTGATTGTGGCCTCATAAAAAGAGTTTGGTAATGAACCTTCTGTTTCTATTGTGTGGAACAATTTGAGGAGTATTGGTATTAGCTCTTCCTTGAATTTCTGGTAGAATTCTGCACTGAAGCCATCTGGACCTGGGCTTTTTTTAGTTGGAAGGTTTTTGATGACTGCTTCTATTTTGTTAGGGGTTATAGGTCTGTTTAAGTTGTTTGTCTGTTCTTGATTTAATTTTGGTAAGTGATAGTTATCCAGAAATTTGTTCAATTGCTTGAATTTTCAAATTTTGTGGAGTACAGGTTTTCATAGTATGACCTGAAAATTGTCTCGATTTCCCTCAGTGTCCATTGTTATGTCCCCCTTTTCATTTCTGATTTTGTTAATTTGCATGTTCTCTTTCTGCTTTTTTGTTAGTTGGATGAAGATTTGTCTATCTTTTTGATTTTCTCAAAAAACCAACTCTTTGTTGCATTGATTTTTTTTTTATTTTTTTATTTTTTTGTATTGTTTTCCTGGTTTCTACTTTATTGATCTCAGCCCTTAAATTGATTATTTCCTGGCATCTACTCCTCTGGGGTGAGTTTGCTGCTTTTTGTTCTAAGGCTTTCAGTTGTGCTGTTAATTCTCTAATGTGACTATCCTCCGTTTTCTTCATATGGGCACTGAGTACAATGAACTTCCCTCGTAGCATTGCTTTCAAGATGTCCCATAAGTTCAGGTATGTTGTGTCCTCATTCTCCTTGAATTTTAGGGAGTCCTTAATTTCTTTCTTTATTTCTTCTTTGACCCAGGTATGGTGCAATTGCACATTGTTCAGTTTCCATGAGTTTGTAGGGTTTCTGCGATTTGTGTTGTTGAATTCCAACTTTAAAGCATGGTGGTCTGATAAGATACAGGGAACTATTTCAATTTTTTTTTTGTATCTGTTGAGGTTTGTTATGTTGCTAGGATCATTTTTTTGTGAGCTCTGTTTCTCTTTCAAATTGGATCAATTTCATGTAGCCAAGGATGGCCTTGAAATAACAGAAATCATCTACCTCTGTCTCCCAAAAGGCTGGGATTAAAGATGTGTGCCACCATTGCCTGGCCTCTATGCCTAGCTAGTGTGGCTAGGCCTATGCTGTGATCCTCAAGCAAGCTTTATTTGTTGCATCATAAACAAAATATCATGACTAGTCACACTCCTTTAATCCCAGCAGTTAGAAGGCAGAGGCTAGTGGATCTTTATGAGTTCAAGGCCATCCTGGTCTATAGAGCTAGTTCTAGGACAGGTAGAGCTATACAGAAGAAACCCTGTCTCAAAAACAAAAACAACAACAACAACAAAAAAATCACCAGAAATGAACATGGGTGAGCAAGTATCTGTGGGGTAGAATGTCAAGTTCTTTGTGTCTATGCCAAGGAATGGAACATCTGGGTTATGTGCTGAATTCATTTCACATGAGATTTTATTTAATTGAGGATTCTTGGTTTTGATGTTCAGTGTGGCTAGTTTTATTTCCTATGGTTTCATTTTAATGTTGTTGATGGTTGGATTATTGTCTAACATTCTTCTTCTTTTGAGAAATAAGTGGCTTTTCTCTTGCTCATAGATGAATACTTCCCAGTTCTCCTGTATTCATCTATTCTTCCCATGAAATTTATTACTTCCCATGTCCCTCCTGGATGATTTCTCTGACTCTCCTGTGTGTGTTTTGCCTCTAATTTATTGTCTCCAGTGCTGCTTTAGAGAAATCAATTGTGTTCATTGGTGACTATCTTGAAATGCACTTATATCTCCACCAATTTTAAGAGAGCAGTTTTCTTGTGTAACAAAATGCTTGATGATGATTTTTGTCTTCAAGCTTCAAATGCTTTCCATGCTTTCCTGTGTTTGGTATCGTTGACTTTACACCTGGTAGAATTCTGTTGCTTGGGTCTTTTGTATGGTTTGGCATTCTTCTCTATCAACTTTCACTATTAAGTTTAATCCTTTTTTTTTTTTTTTTTTTTTTTTTTGACCCCTTTATTTGAAGGGAAGCAAGGCATCTATTAATTGTTCCTGAAAAAGAAACTCAAAGAAGTCAAACAGTAAGAAATGGCTGATACTCCAGTAAACATGTCGCAGGTCAGTGGTTCTTTACACTTGATATCTAAATATGTTATACTTTGATAGATTAAAAATCTTTAATTTTCTGCTTCTGATAATTTTTTAAAATTTTATGAAGAATTCTGCAAGCAGACAAACAATAAAATCCCTTACTGCAATTAAACAGACCCAAAGACTGTACAACTCAATGTACTTTTATACAGTTAAGAGTCCTCATAGCTAACAGGAGCTCTGGAGCCTCATATGGGTTTTTCTATTTCACAATTGAACATATTTTGATTGACTTATTCACCACCCAAACCCAAAAGCTGCCAGAATTAGAACTAGAAAAGCACTTAGCTTTATGTCCTTTCCCATAACTGGTGTTCATTACCTGCATTCAGTCCCTTATAATTTAACCTTTCCTGTTCTCCTCTCCGTGTTATACTATGCCCACATATACTATTATTACACACACACACACACACACACACACACACACACACACACACACGTAAATTCTGCATATGAGTGAAAATATAGTGTTTTCTAAATTACCCATTTTAGGTCCATCCATTTTCCTGCAAATTTTTATTTTCTATTATTCTCTTTAGCTGAACTTACTCCATTTTATACAGTTTTCACTACACATTCATCTGTTGATAATTAGTTTGACTCCAGTGCTTTTCCTTTGCTGATAGAACAGCAGTAAATATGAGGTATAAATATCTGTGTAGTGGGGTGTTTTGTTTTGGCCAGGAGTAAAAGCTGAATCATATGTTAGTTCTCTCTTGTATTTTTTTTTCAATAATCTCCAAACTGATTCCCATAATGGCTTTATTAATTTGCACCCTCCCCTCCATCAACAGTGAGTAAGGCTTCCTTTCTCTCCACATGCCATCGAACACTTATTGCCAGGTTAATTTATCACAGTCATTCTGTCTGTGATGAGGTAGTATTTCCAACTTGTAATATAAATTAATAAAAGACTGATACTTGGGTTCAGACTTCAAGCTGGAGATCAGAAAAGAAAAGCACTGGGCCACCTCAGGCTGACTGAGCTGATCCTGTCTCTCACCAAGCCTCAAACTGAAACCTCTCCCCAGCATGACTGGAGAATGAATACCTCCTACTGACTACTTTCTCCTGTCTTTTATACCCCCTCTAATGCTGAGATTAAAGGTATGAGCTTTAATGCTCTTTTAGACTGATTCAATCTTGTGTAAATCTGGGTGGCCTTGCACTCACAGACTTCTGTCTACCTCTTAATCCTGAGTCCTAGGATTAACGGTGTATACCAACACTGCCTGATCTCTATAGCTTGAGGCTGACTTTGGTTTTCTGAATCCTCAGTCAAACTTTAATGAATCATAAATAATATATCACTATACCAAGTAGTTTTACTTTGTGTTACCATGGTGGCCTTTTTTGGGATCCTGAGAGCTTTTTCAATGTTTATTGGCCATTTGAGTTTCTGCCTTTGAAAATGTCTATTTATCCCATTTGCACTTTTATTTTCTCGGTATTTAATTAAATTTTGCTAAATTATTATCTATGTTCTAATAAATCAGAATGCAAAGCTAGCCATACTAGTTAGCTATAGAAACGGGGCAGTGGTGGCAAACATTCTTAATCCCAGGATTCAGGAGACAAAGGCAGATGGATCTCTGTGAGTTCAAGGCCATCCAGGGCTACACAAGAATGAGTCTGTCTAAAAGGAGATCTCAGCACTTGGGATCCCATGCTTTTAATCCCAGCACTAGAGAGTATATAAAAAGCTCAGTGCAGTCTCAAAGGGCAGTTTAGGATTCTGAGGCTTGGAGGCAGTCTGCATTGCACTCTGAGGATTCATAGAGACAGGAACACCATTTCTGTCTAAAGTAGAGTTAAGTGCTAGTGGCTGGCTACTTTGCTTCTCTGATCTTCAGCTTGAACCCCAATATCAGTCTCTGGGTTGCTATTATTCATGCTTCAGTAAATCCTTGCTATGACCGTTATTCAGAGTTTTTGATGTGTTATTTGGAGTTCCCTCAATATTTATACTCTTTGGGAATGAAGTGAAATATTCTTCAAACTTCTGAAATTGGTATTTGTCTCTGTATGGCTTATGCATATTCTTGGGAAAATTTTGAATTATATCAATATGGCTGATGCCAATTTTTCTGTTTGTAGTGGCCCAAATATTCTCATAAAATTAATTCCATAGGCTACTTATTTATATGGCAGTGTTAAAAATCTATAGCATGTAGTACTGTTATAATCCTTGCATGTGTGGAAAAAACCCAAAATGCTTGTCTATAAAATCAGTCATAAATTCTGTTTTCCATACCTACCTACCCCTTTGCTGTGCAATGGCGTCATTGTATCTAGAGTTTAAGCATCAAAACTAAGCCTATTACAATATAGTCATTTAAGGCCCAAGTACACATGGGATTGATATGTGTCAGTGTTTTAGCATGATCCACAGACAGCTACAGCATTTAAAGCACATTTCCTTATCATGAATTTTCCTTCTGAGACGTGTATACTGTGATCCTATGGGTCATAAACACAGCATCCATAACAGATAGATAATTTGTCCAGACCTTAAATGTATTTCTTGTTTTATGTATATTGCTTTTAAGACTATTGTTTTATCCTGTTTTCACAGAAAATGTAAAATGCATTCATGATAGAATGTGCCTTTATTTGTCTTACCTCATATACATTCCATCTCCTTATACCTAGGAAAGCACTTACAGGTAGCACTTGGTCAAACCATATTTTTTATTTCAGCTTCTGTTGACATTCAGGGATGTGGCTGTGAACTTCACATGGGAGGAGTGGGAATGCCTGGACTCTGCTCAGAGGGCTTTGTACATTGATGTGATGTTGGAGAATTACAGCAACCTGGTCTTTGTGGGTGAGAACATTTTGCTTGTAGAATCCATAACCTGTCTTTTGTTTGTTTTGATAGCATAGGATGTAAAATCTGTTACGCTGTGCTGAAAAAAAAAAAAAAACAAAAACAAAAACAAAAAAACAAGAGTCAGGCCAAGTTTAGTAGTAGGAAAGACCATTTTACATTTCAAAGTTTTCATCCACCTTTCATTTTGGTTCCAGCCTCAATGCTCTCATATATATATATATATATCAGCTTATTACTATTTGTAATCTGTATTGAAATCCATGTTATAAAAGAGGCAGGGAGACTCATTTTTTTTTTTTTTCGAGTCATAATAGAAGTTTGAAAACCTAGAAATAATTTTGGTTAAAAGCAGTAATATTTCCTTTCCTGTTTAGAAGGCTCTATGTATATAAATTAAAGAGATATCTTCATTAAAATCAGAAGAATTTTAAGTTTTACATTTAAAAAAATGTTCAAATGTTCAAAGGGAATATAAAATACTTTGCTTTTTGGCTAAACAGTATATCTAGCCATACCTTCATAGGGGGCAGTGATTACAGATATTAAATTTAGATTTTGAGATTGTCTTTGGACAGGACTTACTCGGAGAATTGACCCTGTCCTTTTAACAGATAAAGGAAGGCAATTGACTCCAAAGTATATATAACTAAAATAGAAGCCTGGCAGAAACTAGAACAAAGCATAGTTCTGTTTATCATGAGAAGTTTAAACATCTTAAATGGCAAGGGGCTTAAGTAGAGAATTATTTATATCTACAACAACATCTTTATAAATATAGTTTTTAGTACATATATAAGAGAATATATTCAAATATTAATTGAATATATCTGAATACTATGTGATTAGTCAGTAATCTATATTTTTAAATTGTTAGTAGCATATAGATTAAGTAAAATTTTAATTAATAAGTTATATATTTTATAGTTAAAGTAAATTTATTTTTAACAGTTTATCTTTATATAAATTATACATTTATATCACACATATTACATTTTATAGAAATTTTCCAAATGTTATTCAGATAATTAATCATTAGGCTATATTTCATAGTTATCTTTAATAGTTTATGATTTAAGTGAAGGTATTGTTAACAATTTTGCATTAGTTACCTTATATAAACCTGAAACTTTATGTTTTATCTCTGTTAAATTTAGCCTAAAAAATAATGATGTTATCTTAATGTGGAAACAAAAGTTCTTAAACAAAAATACAATATACATAAGGAGACTTAACCAGAAGTGAGGATACTCTTAATCAGAAATATAAAATATAAGGACATTGGTAATTATGAATCTTTTATAATGTATCATAAACAATGAGGCGATTAAAAAGACCAAAGCAGCTGCTTTATGGATAAAGGAGAAGTGTATTTTAAATTGTTACGGATATAACAGGATGATAGAGAGGACAGGTAAACTCAGATATTTAATAAGAAGGCAAACAGACAGCTTAAGAAATAGGTTCATAGTGTTAGGATAAGAGATTAAAATTTTAGAGTTAAGTGGAATCTGTAGAGTTCAGACTTAGACAAAAAGCAAGTAGCAGCCCTGGGATGTTTTAGGTGCTGGCCACCCAGAACAGAAGGGCTCAGAAGAGTGCAAATAATTAAACTTAGAGAACAGAGATGTAAAGAGAGTGGGCTTTTATGGAATTTGAGCCCAGTAGTTGTCTGCAAGTGAACCTAGAAACCCTGTAGAATTTTGCATACCCTGGAGACTGGAGAGAGCATCCTGTCTCCATGAACTGGATTCTGGTGGGGTAACTGGAAGTTCCTATATGTGGCCTCATATTTTGTAAAGAAACCAGTAGCCAGATAGCTTCATCCATTTAGAGAGGAAGGCAGATATGCAGTGTAACAATAGGAGGAAAAGTTGTAAGAGTCAAGCAGCTGAAATAGTCTCTTGAAGCAGCACAGCCTTATGCTAACACCTTGTTAGTGAAACTTGCTCAGTTTTTTAAATGAATAACAGCAAGAGGCTCCAAGGATCTGAACTTCCAGACAGGTCAGAGATTTAAAGGCAGAATTTAATCCTTTAGCTCCCATTCAGAGCAGGCAGGGATCTGAAATAGTAATGCAGGGCAAACATTTGACCCTTGTTTACGTTTTCAGGCAATCTTGTTGAATGATTAGGTGGCCATAACAGGTAACACCAATTAGGATCGCCAAGTATTGTTGTTTCTTTGTTAGACCATGAGTGAAGTAGCAGCTCTGTCCCTTGAAGAGAGAGCCATTATTCTTAATAATAGACTGTTGCAGTGTAGATTTTGTTTGACCCCTAGTAAGAAGGAAGACTGTATAAAGAGAGCACTTAGAGAGGGTGGAGGGGGAGGAAGTTAGTTATCCTTAACAAAACATTTAAGTCCTTGGAACCAATAGTGTTTCATTGGTGAGGGCTCTTTGAGAAGCAGCTAATTAGGAAGTGTCTCTGGGACACTTCCAGAAGAAACATTTTGAGGTGCCTTGGTGGGGCGGATTAAGGGAAATTTTTCTTTTACTCACCACCAAAAGTTCTGGGACTTCCAGTTTTGTAGCAACCTTCCTGGTGAGATAGTGCTGTAGCCTACAATTACTGAGACCTCCAGTGCCAGTCTTCCTGGGGAGACAGTCCCTCAAGGACTGGTCTGAATTTACCTTCCTGATTCCCTGTATTTCAGGTGCCAAAATAAGGAGAGCATTCAAATTCCAGCCTCGGTGCTCTCTTAGGGTCCAGGCTAGAGGCTAGACAGCAGGTGGGTAGGGTTTAAGATGGAGGCTTCCCAAAAAAAAGTTCTCTCTCAAAGCTAATTCATGGCAATCAATTATTTTTTCCATCTCCTTCCAGTTAGAGGTTTTTGAGAAAGATACCTGTTATAACTCACTGACCTTTTTGAAGGCTGTCATGCTGTGTTTGTGAGAATCCATACAATTACAATGATTGAAAGATATTCATTACTGTGAGCTCTAATCTGGAGTTCCAGGTTCACTTACGTTAAATGACAACTTATGGAGACAGTCATTTATCATATGTTTATTATTGGAACAAGCCCTCTTAATCTGAACTATACTCCTTTTCAGAGAAGTATTGCAAATGTGATTCTGTCCATCACCATGGGAAGGCTGAAAAGGAGTGTTGTCGTTGTAATGTGCTTAGCAAAGTGCTTCATGGCCCCCCTCCACGTGTGCACTTTATAGAACAAGTGAAACTACGGACAACTACACATGCAGTAACCACAGGGTTGCCTCTGTTGACTCATCAAACCCAGGTAGACATGAAAGCATGCACACTGGAGAAGAACCTTGCCAATCTAAAGACCGTGAGGAATCTTTAAATTTGTGTTCCAACATTACTGAAGATCAGAGAGTCAACACTGCAAAGAAAGATCACAGGCAGGGAGAACATGATGACTCTTTCAGCTCTGCATACAGGCTTTTGCAACAACCAATCAGTATCGGAGAGAAACCATACGAGTGTGGGATATGCGGGAAATGTTTCAGGACTGCCTCATGCCTCATTGAACATGAGAGAATTCATACTGGAACTGAACCCTCCGAACTCAATGCTTGTGAAAAATCCTTTAACCAGTGTTCAAGTCCTACAGTACATCAAAGTGTTCATACTGGGGAGAAACATTACAAATGTATGGAATGTAACAAGTCTTTTACCCAGAGCTTACAACTTAAAGCACATCAGAAAGTTCATACTAGAAAGAAGCCTTGCAGTTCTCAGGAATGTGGCAAATCCTTTACCTGTTGCTCAGATCTTAGAAGACATGAGAGAATTTATACTGGACAGAGACCTTACAGATGCTTAGAATGTGGCAAGTCCTTTACCCAGGAAATACATCTTAGAACACATCAGAGGGTTCATACTGGAGAGAAACCTTACAAATGTTTGCACTGTGACAAATCCTTTACCTGGTACTCACAACTTAGAAACCATCAGAGTGCTCACACTGATGAAAATGCTTACAAATGTATGGAATGTGACAAGTCCTTTACACATGACTCACAACTTAGAAACCATCAGAGAGTTCATACTGGAGAGATATATTACAGTTGTCAGGAATGTGACAAATCCTTTACCAGTTGCTCAGATCTTAGAAGACATGAGAGAATTCATACCGGAGAGAGACCTTACAAATGCATGGAATGTGATAAGTCCTTTACCCGGGACACACATCTTAGAACACATCAGAGGGTTCATACTGGGGAGAAACCTTACAAATGTATGGAATGTGACAGGTGCTTTACCTGGAACTCACAACTTAAAAGACATCGGAGTGTTCATACTGAGGAGAACTCTCACAAATCTGTGGAACGTGACAAGTCCTTTACCCAAGACTCACAACTTAGAACACATCAGAGAGTTAATACTAGCGAGAGACCTTACAGTTGTCAGGATTGTGACAAATCCTTTACCAGTTGCTCAGATCTTAAAAGACATGAGAGAATTCATACCGGAGAGAGACCTTACAAATGCATGGAATGTGATAAGTCCTTTACCCGGGACACATCTTAGAACACATCAGAGGCTTCATACTGGAGAGAAACCTTACAAATGTATGGAATGTGACAAGTCCTTTACCTGGAATTCACAACTTCGAAGACATCAGCAAATTCACCCTGGGGGGAAATCTTACAAATCTATAGAAAGTGACAAGTCCTTGATCTGGAACTCAAAAGTTAGAACACATCAGAGAGTTCATACTAGAAAGAGACTTTACAGTTGTAAGATATGTAACAAATCCTTTACCTGTTGCTCAGATCTTACAAGACATGAGAGAGTTCATACTGGAGAGAGACCTTACAAATGCATGGAATGTAATAAGTCCTTTACTCGGGAAACACATCTTAGAACACATCAGAGGGTTCATACTGGGGAGAAACCTTACAAATGTATTAAATGTGACAAATCCTTTACCTGGAACTCACAATTTAGAAACCATCAAAGTGTTCACATTGAGGAACAACCTTACAAATGTAGGAAATGTGACAAGTCCTTTACCAAGCTGTCACTTCTTATAGTACATCAGAGAGTTCATACTAGAAAGAGACCTTGCAGTCCTAAGGAATCAGACATTTTTTTTACCAGTGGCACAAATCTTAGAAAACACCAGAGAGTTTATACTAGGGAGAAACCTTACAAACATTCACATTGTGACAAGTCCTTTACCCGGGGCACACGTCTTAGAACATACCAAAGACTTCATACTGGAGAGAGACCTTATTGATGGGAGATGTCATTCTGTAAATATGTTTTTCATGACACCTTATAGTTGTAAGGAATATGACAAATCTTTTACTAGGTCCAAACATCATAGAACCCATCAGAAAATTCATATTGGAAAGAAAATTTCCAAATGCAAAGACTGATGTATCCTATTCCATCTCACATGTCTTAGGAAACATTAGGAAATTCATACTAGAGAAAGACACCATTGTAAATTTTGTGACATAGTGTTTTCTTGTATTCTCTGCTTATAAATCACAACAGTATCTATAATAGAAAGATAAACGTAAGAAACTTGTAGAAATCTTTAATGAGGTTTAAATCTTAGAAAATATCACATAGTATATGCCAAAATAAAATTCCCCCCATGTTACTGTGGTAAAATCTTATTTCTTTTACTGTCATTGTGCTTTGCCTGCTTGTTTTGCTGGCACTACATATAGGTGCGGCCAAAAAGGGTCATCAGATGCCCTGAAGCTGCAGTTACAGATAATTGTGAGCTGCTGGGTATGTGTTGGGAATTGAACCCCTATCCTCTGAAAGAGCAGCCAATGAACTTAAACACTAAGTGATATATCTCCAGCCCCTGGGAAAAGCTGTCATAAAAACATTTATCTTGTTTAACATCCAAAATTAAATAGGTACCAGGCATGATGGTGCAAGCCTTTAGTCCCACACTCAGGAGACAGAGTAGTAGGATCTCTAAGTGTGAGACCATCCTGAACTACATAGTAAATTCCATGACAGCTATGATTACATGAACCCTGTCTCTTATAAAAACAATCATAATGAGGACAAATGTAATAACATAAAAATGTTAAAAGGCCTTGAGTTTTATCTGTAATTTTGCTGTGCATCACAAAATTCATCTTCTGACCAAGCATATCTTTACAATTCCTTTCTTGCTATTCATTGAAAGTTCCATCCCTGGAATGCATTCAATTTGACAAATCCTTTACCTAGTTCTAAATTGTAAACATTAACAACAAAATATTAATGGGTGGTCCTGCCTGTCCTGTATTTTTCATTCTGATGGGGTTGGGAGGGGGGGCGTCCTGGAATGGGTGGGTTTGTGTTAGCAGGGGATTTCTGGTCAAGCTGGAGTTGCCAGATTCATTCCTGAGGAAGCAAGGCTGCCCTAGCTTGGCAGTAGCCTAGGATGGAACTCAAAAACTGTAGGAATTGCTCAGTCGCTGGCTGTGCTGCCCTGGTAGTGCTGCCCTGGTGATCCTGCCTAGCTGTAGGTGCCCTGGATTAGGCCACCATGAGTGTTCTGGCCACTGAGTGTCCTTCATGGTCATCCAGCACTCAGACAGCATCTACTCCTTGCCCAGGTCCCAACACCTGGCACAGTACTCCTTGGGCAGCCACCTCTGCACCTTGGTGCAGGTGGCAGGGCACTTGACCAGGATGGACCAGGAAGAGGAAGACAAGCACTGCATTGAGCCTCTGTGCACCATACCATGCACAGTGGGATCTTGCACGCAGTAGGCTTTCACTTTTTAAATCAATTGATAAAGTGGAGGAAATGTGGAACAACTTGAAACCCAGGTGCCAGTCTCTGTTTAGCCATGAAGGAGGAAGCCACCCCTAAAATGTGGACATGAACTCTAGCAGGTGTCTCTTTGAGAAAAGCATCAGTCTGGGAGACTCCACTCCCCAGCAGCAGAGCAGTCCTTTATGAGGAATTGTTGCCTTACATCTGGGAATAAACCCTTCAAAGATCTTTTCAAGATGAAGCCAAAACTATGCTGTGGAGATCCTGCAGATTGTTGAAATAAGCGTTGAGAAAGGACAATGAGTCAAGTGCCACCAGGGAACAAAGCTTGCTCAAAGAGACTCCTACTCTCACTACACCCCATGGAGAGGGGAGGAGAAGTAGTCCTTTTCCACAAAAGACTCAGAGTTTATTGAATACTGAGAAAAATTTTGGTAGAATGCAAAGCAGCTTTCAGAGGATACAGGCACTGTGGAGTCCTGTGGTTAGGAGCACCTTACTGAGACAGAGGCTCCAGGACACTGGGTTTGGGTTTCCCCATGAGAACTTACACCAGGCAATCAAAGCCTTGCTTTTCCAATAAAAGAAAAATTCATCTTTCTGAATTAATGCTGAAGAAATGTCCTTTTCCTGCTGCCTCAGATTAGTACTAAAGTGACAATAGATTAAACAGTATACAGCTCCTGTGAGCCCTCATTCAACATTTTTTGCTAGATTCGATCCCTCACTGGTGTCTCCAGAAGATAGAGAAAGATAGGCTCTCAGAGAGAAGATGGTTGAGCATTGAAGAAGGGGTGGATCCCCCTCCCAATGCAACAAATACACACATTTGCAGCTAATGCACAGATCAATCCATTGTACAAATTAGACCAAAGTGAGTCCCCTGGGATGATGGAGATAAGTGGTCATGGTTCTTCAGTACCACAAACGAATTGCAACTCAGAAGAGGACTCAACCACCCTGTCCCTGCAGTCATGGACACAGATGCAGCATTAGGTATCCTGGGATCTCCCCTTGCATGTTAGCAGACAGGGAACTTGGAAAGCTCATAAGCAGATCAGTTTCATTCTGTGCCTTGTGCCTGATTTGCTTCAGATCACAGGGAATCCATGATACTGCAGCGTGATGGTCCCATAGCAAGCAGAAGCCTACCTACAAAGTAAACATGAGGACATGGTTTTGCTCAGGGACTCTGCTCAGGCTGACTTCTTTCTGGGACCTTCCCTGCATGCCCAGTTTGAACAGTGGAACTACAACTTCAGCTTTGATGCCCCAACCCTTGTGAATTTCACTCCTCCATTGTCACTGGGCTTCGGGAACATTATAAAGACCCAGCTCTTGCATGTGTTTTGAAATATTTCTTACAATATCACTGAATAGGACTTTTCTTTTCAGACCGCAGTATATCTGCCCTGCAGTGGTCTGCAGGGGCACTATGTATGATGGTATTGGTGAGCTTTTTAAAAAGAGTGTCACTATAAACAGAAAGTTATGGTTTGCTGGTTAGAGTGAGAACAAGTCAAGACAAAGTAACCTCTGTTCCTTTTGTCTGCTCTCAGTAGAATCATTGGAAGCAGAGTTGGCTTCTAGGGTTTTTCACTCAGAATGTGAACTTAGTCATTAGCCTTTATCCAGTGTGATCTTCTATTACACAGACAAAGGTGCCTAGAAACAACACATTGTGTTCAGGTGTCCAGAGCTGTGAAAACACCACAAATTAGTGAGCTGGTTGGTTTTAAATGGCTCTGGTGACTGAGTGAGGCAATTCTGGGGCATTTGCTATGATGAATTCTATTTCATACTGAAAAACATGTTACTAATACTGGATGGGTAGTTGAACAGTGTGACTCATGTTTGAAATTAGTTTTTCTAAGAATTTTTTTATAACCTTCCAAAAGTAGTGATGTTTGTACTTAAGTATAAATCAAGCATTGAAAGTCCAAGACAAGTAAGAAAACAAAAGATTGTCTTCCTTTGGGAGAGAAAAAAAAATGCAATTTTTCTGGCCACAGGTTCAGTCACCATGTGGTTTATGATCAGTGTCCTTTTGTTCTCTACTAAACCAAGGTCTCTAAGATAATTCTTCCAAGGTCAGAGTTACAGGTTAGTACTAGTCTTGTTTCTGGGATGTTGGCTGTGGCTTCAGACAGGTGTGCAGTTGGAGATTCGAATGGGATTTTTTTCTCAGTGGACACATGCAGTCCACATTTTCATCAGAATGGATCTTTTCCTGTGCTCTTGAGCTTGTGAACCTGGAGGGAAACAAGACTAGAAGATGCCCAGACACATCAGATGAGAGTAATTCTGCGAGTTGCTGATATCAAATTATGATAAACTATAATCATTTGGATGGCAGTATTTCTCTGTCAGCTCATAGCTGAATTACTTAAGTACAATTTATAGCATTTTAGTGCAGTTAACTCTTCACAGAAAACCCGAATTGTAGATATAAAAGGTACTGTACAACTGCGATGTCTGTAAATAACATCACTTGCCACCTTTTTGTCACTTAGTATAGGATGTAGTACAGCTTGAGTAATTGTCAGATTCTAGTGTTGCTTCTCAGTGTTGGACTGAGTTCTCAGACATTTGCACTACAGTAGCCAAGTCCAATCTCATTGTCTGTCTCTGTGCTCTGTGCCTGCTGGTGAGCACTGCTGGGTTCCACATCAGCTGCTTCAGGGGTTATTTTATATCCCTCTGTGTATCACCAGGGCTACTAGAAGGGGAAAAAAAAAAAGGCTGTATGCAACACTAACCCTTTTGACTGCCAATGTCTGTTTCAGCTTGCTGTGTCTTGTTCTGATTGGTTTTTCATGCTAATAAAGTGTATTTGGTGTTCTTGAAAATAAAATCATGAAAGTGTATTTGGATTTTCTTTTGGGCTGCCACCACTGCCCAAAATGACACAGAGACTTATTAATTATGAAAGGTTGGCCTTCACCTTAGACTTGTTCCCAATTTATTCTTATAACTTCAATTACCCTGTTTCTACTAATTTACTTTCTATCTTGTGGCCCTTTTCCTTCATGACTTGCTTTGTGGCTCAATGGCTTCTACCAGGCACTCAGATTCAGGTCCAGCTTCTCTTTCTTGCAGGAAGTCCCACCTATTCTCTCCTACATAGCTATTGGCCATTCAGCTCTTTATAAAAGCAATTGGAAGATGCCATTCACACGGTGTTGTCAAATATCCTGTGATGACAGTGTGCTCTAAATAATTCTCATCTTTTGTTTGACTTCAAAATAAACCTTATAGTGAGCCAGAAGGTCATGGTCATGATCACATACAGCTTAGATATACCTAAAGACAAAGGGTGTAGTCATGCATGCTTTTAAAACCACAGCTCTGGAGGCACTTTAAGTGGATATTAGCTATAAAGTAAAGGATAACCCTGCCACAATCCACATGCCTACAGAGGCAAGGTAACAACCAGTGCCCAAGGGGAAATACATGGATCTCCAAGAGAAAGAAATAGAAGAGGTCTCAAAGATGGATTGAGACAAGTGCTGATGGGAACATGAAGGATCAGGTGGGGCTTGGAGGGAGGGTAGGTGAATGGAGGGGGAGTGTACTGAAAGAGATGATTGGAAAGTAGTGGCATTTCATAGTCGGTAGAAACATGGTACAAATGAAACTCCCAGGAATCTACAAGGATGACTCCAGCTTAGACAACTAGCAATGGTGAATGCATAGCCT